TTCCTACTCTAAGTGCCCGTTTCAGGAATCAAATTATCCGCATACACTTCGCGTCTTGATTTTCTTACGATGAAATCAGAAATAAAAGGGAAAGAACACACGAATAAATAGGTTAAGTATGTTCCCAGAACTTCATTCGCCACTTTTAAATTCTCAAGGTACAAAGTGGCAGTCACATTCACATTTAAACATACAATACTGCTTAGACGGATTTCGAATCTTATTTTAACTACTCTGCAGTTTCTTCTAATTACAAATTTACATAATTGTTGAAATTAATTATACGAACAAGAAGAAATGGAATATTATCTAAATCTTTAAAGCAACAATGAGAGGTTTAAAATAGAACTTATAAACGCATTCTATTCGGTCAGTTCTTGTGACTTGTTTACCATGCTATGATTATATTAGTATACAATACACTTTACACTACAGTACACTACAAAACTAAATAACAAATAATAAAACAACGATATGGTGCGTCATAAATCAATAGTCACTCACTCATTTACTCAATGATGCAATCAATATCTTTATCAATGGCCGCCTCAAAGCGTTCAGATAGACGTTCATGCTTCTCCTTACTCGATTAATGCAAATGGCACACAATGGTTGTGTAATTGCATTCCGTAACTTTTTTAGAATTCTCGTACATACTAGAATTATTCTTGTGGCTTCTGCAGCCCTAGATCCTCGATTGAACGCGAAAAGCTTGATTGAACGCATTTTACTCTACTTGACACTCCATTCAGATCAGCCTTGATAATGACCAACACGAGCTGTTAACAATACATAAGCTTCTGTTCGTAACAATCAAACTCAAAACAAAAGAGAAACAATAATAAAAAACGAAGGTTTCCCAATGCAGTTTTTCCAACACAATGAAGAACGGCACCGAGCCAGTAAAAAATATCATTTTATGGAAACTAATCAAGTAATTACACTAAAACTTCGTTCATGAAAACTAAAGCGGATGAAGACATTTCTGATGGCTTATACTCCGATGTGTAAAATGCATTCCTGGCCGCTTAAAGTACACATATGTTTATATTATCGCAAAATAAAACATCTGATGTGTACACAACATGACTTCCTTCTACGGAATATTAAATTATACACGTTTTTTTCTTGCATTTCATTTAAACTTATTGGATTGAATTAAATCTACTTCGCAGACAGCGCATAAACTACAATAGAATAAATACATTCTTTAAAATTCACTCTAGTATTTATTTCCCATAGCGACACTCTGGCGCTAGATTCACTTAACAGTATTAATAATTATATAACAGTTAACTTATAATTATATAACGGAAACTAAGTTAACTGTTATATAATCCAATAATTATATAACAGTTAACTTATATATTTCGTTCATATTATATATCATAATGCACAAAATTTATATCATTTAAAGAATAGAATTATCTAATCGTCGCCACATGTTCTATTCAAATACTATAATAAAGCTAGAACGATGTATAAAAGAAATTAAGCAAACAAAACAAAAAAGGAACAGTTTTTCACAGACGATTGACTATTTCTCATTTAATTAATTCAGTTCTCACTTCGCGAGAAGGCAAAAATACATAAAAACTCAAAATATCTATATTAAAAATTACGAAGTAAAACTTAAATACTTATTTCCTCGAAACAATTCCAGAAAGAATTAAGCATGATTTAATTGGCAATAATAAATGAATGCGTTATCTTTGTTGTTGCGAAGCTAAGTTTCTCTAGATTGGCAACAAATCCACTAGTCTCCTGTTTCAAATGTAAACATCAATGGCCGCCATAAAAAAAGGCTTAGCGGCACTTAGACTACTTTAAAATTGTTGATAATTCTAAAATATTGCATACAGATTTACTAAAGGCATAAAAACCTTAACCGGAAGATAAAAATAACATAACACAATCATTTTTAAAGCAAAAAATGTACAATTTACAAACATATAAGAGTAAAGAAACTGAGATCACTGAGCCGGGTAACAAAGTGGATATATATATAAATGTGTTTATATACGTTTGGTGCGGCCGATTGCAACCAAAATACGAGGTGCACATCTACATGTTATAGTAGTCCTATATACAAAATTTCAACTTTCTGAGGCTACTCGTTTTTGAGTTATGCGAGATACGTTCGTACGTACATACGTTCGTGCAGACGCCACGAAAAATTCTCTTCAGTATTAATTTTAAAGCTGTTTTATAATTTTTTGAAGGAAAAGAGTATTTTATTCTGTCTTTACGTACAGATATCACACAAAAACATTGTTAAATTGCATTCGATAGCGGTCAAAATGGATATTTTCGTTGAAATATGCTGCCTGAAACTTTTCGCGATTACAATACTTCCTTTTTACTTCGTACAAGGAAGTAAAACGTAACGTTGACTGGTATACATTTTATTTCAACATAAGTAATTACAGCACATATCACAGCCACATATTCTGCCAATGGCCCTCACAAATTTCGTTTGGAGTGGGTTTGCCGTCGACGAAATTTGAGTGCAGTTGTATGGAACGGCGTTATCTTCACCTACGAATAGAGAGATCTTTTAGGGCAATGACGATAACCATGTACCTGTGCGAAAGTCCTGTTGTCGCACACGTACATGGACCTCAATCCTTCTCTCTTTTGACAGTGGTACGTCTCTCCTACAGTTGGTATGACAGTACAGGTTACAATCGCATATGACACCTAATTACCTCTCATATTTATCCAAGGAAGCATGATAACCTAGCGTTACGTTTGTAGCATCCTTCAACCGTATGTGTTCCCATTCATAACAGAGTTCCGAGGAGCCGATTTTAGCAGGCTAATGTTCGACAACATACAGCCAGCGGAGTCACAGGCAGGAATTTCTCCGACGCATTACTGTTTCTTCCTAGTCCGGTCCCTAGAATTGTCACCAATCTAGTATGTTTGGGGTCGCACTAGAAATGTGCTTAAAGCAGTTGTGGAATGAGTTGACTCAGGACTTCATGTTTATGAGGGATATGTATCCCTTACTGCCACCCTGGGCAGCATCCCGTATTCACGACAGACGTAACCCACAAGGGTCCTAGAATTTGCATTCATTTGTCATTTGTAGGTTATACTACAAAAAATTATATTTTCGCTATGATTCCTAATCACATATCAATGTTACACTCACATATTTAAATCTTCGTGCGATTTTGAAAAACGTTTCTTAGAGAGTAAATTTTTATGGTAGTGGGTGTATTTTTGAAGCATCTGGTTGAGTCCTTATTCTCAACGATGTAAATTATTTTTTATTATTTATATTTAGAAAAGTTATGACTTTAAAAGAATATTTGGACTCTTCGAAGTGTCTAAAACTTTCCTATGATTTCAATATTAGTTTAGTACAAAATCCTGCCCAATTAAAATGCAAACTAGCAATTTTTGTTTTTATTTGCCTATTAACACATATAAATATTTAAACATAATTAGTTACGTATACATTATTTCACAGATTGTTTAGTTCATAATTATAATTTATTTGATTTGATTTCTTATTCTTTTTATAACGTACACTTATAAATACAAATTATTAATTTAATTATCATTAAAATGACTGATTATCATTTTATAGATAAGAAGAATTATCAACTTTTATGTAATACTGTTTTTTTTTTTTTTTTTTTTTTTTTTTTTTTTTTTCAAAACACTCAGTGACGTGAACCTTGTTTGACAGATTGTTGAGCTATGCATAATTTTTAACAGCTATTTATTTTGAGTTATTGAACATAATTTTGCTTGAAGCAACACATATTTGAAACGAAATAATTGCATTGAAAATTACTTTATCGGTAAGTTCATATTTGCAAGGAACCCTTATTTACGATAACACCTTATCGAATTCCTTTAAATGCAGCACGGAAATCTCAGTGACAAATTAATTCAAATTCTAGCCTAAACTCCAATTATTTTTATCAATGAACCTTCTAGCTGCCAATACTCCATTCATCATTATATTCCTGCGCTTCGCCCACTCATCAATTTTAAAGATATCTTGATTCGATGACTGAGTATCCAACGCTGAAGTTTAATTTAATATTTTCTACATACTTTATATAATGACGCAGTTTTCCATACTTTCTTAGTAAATCAAACGATACTTATAGATTACTAATACTAGTATAATAGAAATCTTTTTTATTTATTATATCATTACTGTCACTTAAAAGGAAACAATCATCAATTTAATTATTCATTTAAGCGAACTAGTTAAAGGGACAGAAATTTTAAGTGCTGGAATAAACTGAAAACGGACTTTTATTTTTCATTTTTCTTATGCTGAAGAATTTTAGTTCTTTACAGTTGTTTTATTAAAGAACTGTTATTTTGATATATGCTGCCATAAATAATGAAATGAAAAATTTAAACCTACATAACTATCTAATTATACCTGTTTAAACTTCCTCTGCTTGGACGAATTTTCGTCTTCGATATAAACAGTAGTCCAATTAAATTTCATTAACAAAGAAAATCCTCTAAATATAATTAAAAATTTTAGTAAAATAACACCTTGAGCTATAGCTGTAAATTAATATAAACATTACCCAGTGGTATGTACCAGTTTTAGTCGCTTACTATTTAAAGAACTCAAGCTTAAATCAAATCTCAAATATCAGCTTTAAATATTTTTAAATAAAAATCTGTTTTAGACAATATTACTGATTTAAACAAAGCATATAAAATATTCTCTATACAAATTATATTAGTATAGCAGAAATCCATATTTTAAAATAATTAGAGTTAATTTTCTTTAACTGCCAATATTAAAAAAGTATTTTTCAAATCTTTTCTATTTTCATTGGCAAGGTACTTGACATGAACAAGACAACATAATAAAATACATAAATTATATAAAGAAAGGAATGCGGAAGTAAACGTTTTTGACCCATGCTTCAGTATCGCATAAATCGCTGAGTTTCAGATTTTGCACCAATTGCAGTTGAAGTCTGTTTAATAACACGTTTCACTGCTAAAAATTAATTTTCATTTTTTATCAGTGAAATCATGGATCCCTTTTTAGCTAATAGATTGGCTTGTTCATTACCATCCACACCGCAGTGCGCTGGGATCCACTGAAGGGTAACGTGGATTTCTTTCCTCTCAAGATCCTGCAAGTAAATTCTAACATTGTAATACATCTAAAAATGTAACTACGGCTTCAGAAGCAATAGCCTGAATATCTTCCTTCGAGTCAGACAGTGTCAACTCTCTAAACAGAAGTTGTTCTACAGTTTCAGTTTTAAAATGTCCGATAGCAATGTAAAATGGGAATAATTCACAATTCACTTAAAAGTAATGAGTGTTTCAGAGCACTGTGTAAGGATCGACAGGATAAACGCTTCATAAGTACTGTTTAGAGTTGAGCGACGCATCCCCAGAGGCAACCAGCGAGGCGTTAAAGAAGAGACCGATTTTTTGTAAATCGATGAAATATATATGCATTGTGACACTTCCAGTTCATCCTTTTGTCAAGTGCAACCTCAAAAAGGCGAATTTTTTAGACATCTTTAAATCATGATTTAGAAAGTAAATATAAGGTTCTAATTTTGTATGTGCAAGACAGAAAGTCAGAAGAGCAGTTCTTATCACGATTGACAACCATGTTATTATTATTACACTAATTTTCTAATAGTCTAAGAGCAGCATCAAGGTTCTGCTCCGTTACACTCTTTACATCCATCTTCTGTGACTAAGTCCAAAAACCCGAATTATCTGCAAATAAAAGGCAACTAATTTTCTCTACCGATTTCAGAGCATCAATTAAGTTATTCATATATATATGCTAAAAAGGATGCAGCTTAATGCAGATCTCTGAGGGCGACCAGTCTGTGGGACATAAATCCCAGATACTTTTATTTCCAATACGGACTCTATGAAAACGTTGGCCAGTAAAAGAGCGAATCCAATTTAACGTATTGTTTCCAACACCAATGTCAATAAACTTTAGAAATAACTTCTCCGTACTATCGTACTCTGATTTAAAATCGCAGAAACAGCCGACAAGATATCCCTGGTATCAACAGCGTCCTTTACGACTTGAGCAAAGTGGGCAACATATAAATCTGTCGATCGATCCAGTCTTTTCTCATCTTAGTAAACCAAAATGCTTCAGATACCAGTTCAGCCTTGCGTGAATCATCTTTCGCATGGCCTTTCCCATGTGAACGATATAGGTCTATGATTTGACACATATTTTGCATCTCTATGGTTTTTGAGAATCGGGATAGTCAGCTATTTCTTCCATTGTACGGGAAGCATACCGATCTTCGATATATAATTTAAAATATCTAAAATATTTGCTTTACATTGTCACCTAAATTCTTATGAAATTCAGCATGAATATAGTCTACTCCTGGAGATTTTCTAATTTTCAGATTTCTCAATGCAGTATCTAATTCACGTAAGGCAAAAAGGGAGTTGACCAAGTGCTCTGATGTCAACTCTTTTCTAGCGCAAAAGATAATCTATTTGAAAATTAATAAGCTTAGCCAGAGCATTAACATTCTTGTTATTATTTACGTACAAGGAGTTTTCCTTAGACGGAGCGTGTTTATTTGTAATCCTTGCAAGGTACCTACATAGCTTCAAGCTGTCTATTTTATAGTTCCCCCTATATTAGGGCACGAGTTGAGGTCAGTTTTATAGACTCAGGAGGAATGCGGTCATCTTTTTATCTCTGTTATCTCTCTGTTAAGTATTTAGGTTTAGTTTATGAATATTAAAAAAACTACTTTTAAGAGAGTTTTGGTATTTACTAACATGTTTGCAACTGTTGTTTAATATGCTTATTGATACATTAAAAAAGTAGCTAAATCGTACCCTCTGTCTTTCAGCAAATGCACCACTTCAACTACAAGCTGTAGTGGGCGGCCGAGGTTTCATGCCCTGCAACATATCTTCTCCATCACCAGAAGATATAGTTACTTTGATTTTATGGTACAAGGGAGATGTAAAAGTGCCCATTTACACGCTGGATTCAAGGAAAGGTCCGCTGGAGAAGGCAAAGCACTTTCCTAGCGCAAAACTTGGTCGGAGGGTGCATTTTGACTTGCACGTTAAGGTGCCTGGACTATCCATAAATCCAGTGAAAGCTGAAGACGAAGGTCTTTATAGATGTCGGGTGGAATACAAGAGGTACAGGACTCTTAGCTATCTGTACGACCTGAAAGTCATTGGTGAGTACTAATTAAAACACATTTTTATGTTAAGTATTATAATGTAAAGTATTATAATTGGATGTCAATGCAACATGTAGAGCATTGGTAAAATTATCTGGAATGTTCTCACATATATTTCGTTTCCTGTCTGATCAAATTTGTGCACAGTTTTGCTTAAATTTCATGTACGAATTATCATGTTCGAAACATTCTGCTTCATGATTCTAAATTTAGCGTACCTACATTAACCGAAGTATTATTCGAATGGTGGCTCCGAAAATTCTAAACGTCTTTGTTGTGAAAAGCACCATTTGGATTCTGTGTTAAAACATAACAAAACTGATCGTAGAATGCTGTAGCCATAGTGAACAAACAACGAGGAAGTGGTACGGCCGTTATAGTTTTTGTCACTTATCTGACTTGAATGATACCAGTACAGAACGAGTCTACAATTATAATACTTTACATAGTCATAATTTATCAGCCATAACATTTACTGCGACTAAGCGTGCAGGATTGCGTCTATCGTTGGCATGGGCCTTGATCATTATGTAGGCGATAGTAAGACATTATTTTCAGTACATATCTTGGCTACTCATTGAAGAACATAAGACTATTTAATTCATGTTTCATGTTAATCATGACAAGTAAAATTTTAAATTGCTAAATAATTCACTACTTATTTAAATTGCTACGTGGTGGGTTTATTTCATGAAATACATATATATTCTGAAGCTGTTTTCCTGTAGATCTTGTGACTCAATAGGCTATGGGCAGTGGAAAGCAACATGAACATGATGGTTGCAGTTCATGGAATTTCAACAAGGGTCTGTCATGTTATCTTCTCTCTGGCTGTCCAATGCGCAAGTATCATAGAATTTGCATTCCATGACACAACACTGAAACCATTTTTGGACTACTGGCCAGTTGTTCTGAGATAGGTTAACTTGAATAAATGGCTAAAGTTTAATAGCGAAAAATTTATCAACATTGTTAGTCCGTTTCAGTTTAAGTAATCGTAGTCTGTCAATTATCGTGCATTCGAGTTTTATAGTTACCTACTTTTGATGTACATTTATCATGTGTTATATGGTTCTATATTTGAATATCTATTTTGACTTCAAATCAATAGCATATTTAACGTTTTGCAATTGCAAAAGGCTAGAATAGGAAATTAGTCTTTAGTCAATTCCTTAGACATTTGCATATCCATTTCCGTTATATATTCTTTTTCTCATTATTTGTCGGGGAGGGTGTACGTGATTTGTTGACACGCATATTCAATATTAACCGTTTATAAGAAGCAGTAAATTTAAAGCAAATGTAGTATTTTGTCACAATAAGGGTTCCTATATTCAATGGCAAACCCAGTTAAAATTCTCAAGATGTATCAAATATTGCTTGTGGAATACATTAAATTGCATTTTTGCTGTATGGGCTTTATTCCTAGATATATGTTTAGAGGTATCTTGCTGTGAAAGTTTGCATATTCCGTCCATCTTAGAGGTCTCTTAAGCTTGTCAATAATCTTTAACGCAACCTGTAGATAGATGTTTCAAATGGAAATTTTAAGAAAGATAAAGGAGTAAAAGTAATCTAAATTTATGAAATTAATTCTCTAGGTATTTCAGTTATAGTCGAAAATTCTGGAAAATAAAATGTTTTTAAAATGAGAAGTAAACACAATAAATAGTCTAGCATATATTTTGCTCTGGTTCTAGAATTAAGATGAAAGTAATGCTCATGGGAAATTAAATAAACATTTATTCACCTCCATTCGCTGGCATTGCATTTTAATATTTATTGCTTAAACTCCCGGAGAGGATTAATTTCATTATGTCGGGTTTGTATTTTAATTTCGGAGCTCTTTGCTATTCAAACGACTTTTGTTTTCTTCAGATTCAAGGGAAATAATAAATATAACAAATATGTTAATCTTTTAGCAGATATTAGCACAAACGAAACTCAGTGATGCTGTCTCCGAAAGGAATATACCTAAAAGGTCCTAGGTAAAAAAATATTTAACTTATAAATCAGTTTTATGAGTTTTTAAAATCAACCAAAAGAGCAATCTATTGCATCTGCATATAATCGTTTAGTTAATGAAATGAGGATCGCTCGGACAGGAGCAATGATACTTTGCGTAACATATATTCCATCACCATGTTAGTCTGTGTGGTTATCAGCTAATAGTGTTATATAAGAAAAGAAGAACAAAATTCTTTGTACCCCTCCAACTAGACGTAAGCAGTTAACACGACGAACTAGTAAGAGGAAGATCCATAGTTCAAGTTCTAGATAAGACACAAATTATTTTCTCTTTTCCTACTTGAATGAAACTTAATATTCTCTAGTGTGGCACCCAAATTTAAAAAAAAAAAAAAAAAAGGTAGAAGAGTAACTGTTCACCAAATGAGTCTGGTGGCTGAGTTTCGTACTTTTCTTCACTGCAAGAGTGAGGAAAAATTTAAGGACCTGCTCCATTTACTGCGCATGCTTTTGTAATGTGAACATGTCCACCTACCCACCTATTGTATGGAAGATCCATGGTTCAAATCCCGGCAAGAACACGGGTGATATTTCACGTTTCCTGCTTCCTTGAATCCTACCAGGCTCTGTAAGGGCAAAAGAGCCTTCTCTCTCTATTCAGTTTATTAGCTATTTTTTAATACAATTTAAAAAAAAGTTTAGAAATATTTGTATTTCAAAATGGAACAGTAGTTCAGTTTAGTTTATGATCAGTGAAACATCTAGCCTTTGCCACGTATTTTCACACATCCTTTATTAATTTACTAGGTTAACGGTGTTGTTTTACATCCATCTAGTACTAGATATATATTAATTTTAAATAATAATTACCAAATTATTTAAAATTTTTCGTATTTCAATATATATTATTAATGTATAAATTATTAAACATATTTACATGAAACAGAATTAAAAAATAAATTGCAACTTCATCAAAAATAAAGTTCATAATTCATGGAAGTAACTACTCTACTATTTTATTCATATTTCTAAGTGGAATGGCAAATACTGCAGAAAGTAGATTAATAATTTTAAAAATATTGAGAACAATGTAATGCTTATAATGACAATGAACAATATAATGTTGTTTAATAGTAATCTTTTGAAAGAAATGACATTCATTGCAAGAAATTTAATATCTCTTAAGGAACATTGCATTACATAATGATCCCGAGATCTATGTCCCCACAAGCATAATGACCCCTATTGGTAAATCCATACAAACAATTCATAAGCTCTTGGTCAAATCTTATTTAAAAAAATATGGGATTCAAAATAATACGTATTCTGCATGGCAGTTACAAGTTAACAACAACTTATTTGATAACACAAATTTGCACGAAATTTAAGATGGTATCGTTTCCTTAAGGAAAATTCCATTGTGTTGTAGGGTTTATATTTATTTTAACTAACATTTATTTTAAGTTTAAGCTATCTTTCCTGTCAAGCCTTTACTTTTCCCTGGAATTGCGAATGCCTGAGTATGTAAATTTTAGTAGAATGCGCAGAGTATTCAAATTTTTAGCAGAAGTAATTTGAGTTAAATAGAAGCGAAACGAGATTTGTAAGTGTGCTTCTTGATTCACGAGCATGAAGGTTGCTTGGTAGAAGTTTAAGAACCGCGGGTTTCGGCCTGTTCGGCCTACTTCGGCAGTTAGTTGAATTCTTTCAACGTCTTAATCAGAAAGTTTGCTGAATCTCAGCTGTATCTTAGAACGCTGTTAAGATAGTTACAATTATAGAGCCTGGTAGATAGTGACTTCGTTAGTTATGCATCCTGTTATTTATTTTTAGTTGTACTTTTCTATTTTTGTTACACCGCCGGGTCGGCGTAGTTTGTGAGCGTCAAGTGAAGCAACTGTAAGTTCTAAAGTGAAATAAAAAGGGATTAAACCCTTCTTACGAGTTTGTGTACCTTCCAGTTCATAGCAGTCACTACTACTGTTGCGGACAAGTTGGGGCCACGCAACATCACAGTGTAATAACCAACTCATTGTAATTATGCCCTCATTCAATTTAATAACATCACAGCATTTGATCACAATATATCGCATACTATTATTTCCCCTTAGATGAAGATTTTCTCCAAAAGCCAGAATATAGATGAGTGCCCCTACCTTGTTAGCTTTGGCAGCAGGCAAGACACAAGATGTTACAAAGCATTCCTGATTGTCACGGAAGTTTCACGACATCAAGAGATGGAAGCTGTTGTGATACACATATAAATTGATATGATTGCTTAGACAACATGATATGCTTAGAAATATCATACGAATTTTTAAAATAGTAAGCCACATAAACGTTAAGTAAATTTATGAACGTTAAATAACATTAAAACCTTTGTCAATTCTGTAAATTTCGATTCGAAGCAGCATATTTATAATTAGTCTTTCAAGTCCCAAAAGTGCAGTTTTTACAGTAAAATAAGCAAATTAAATATAAATGATCCATGCAGGTTGCTCCACATGTCGCGCACATCAGAATTTCAAAAATTATGAAAATAGTTAGCAATGCCAAATTTTTTCAATGCATGACACCTCATATGAGTTATTCATATTTGAAATTTCAGCTGCCGTTTTATGCTTTTAAAACTTCTGTTTATAAACGAAGGAGACTTTGACTAAGCAGAAACATTTTTTATGTGTGAGCATTGTTGTAGAAAAATGGTTAAAACTCTGGTATATTTAAAGCGTTTATGCATATCTTACCTTAAACTTAACGAGATAATGATTTTTCGCTTACTAAACTGATTTAAGAAAAATTTAACTGCCTCCCCAACAGAAACAAATCAGCGAGTTGTTCTCTTCTGATTTTCAACAAACTGAAGTCAGGAATAAAATGTTGCAGTTTCCGCAATTTCTGAATGCTTTTTGTGCGTGGCTTTAGATTCACCCTATAAATTTATCACATTTATAGCTCGCAGTTCTGTACATTTAATGTTAACATACAGCCGCCCAGACGGTACAGTGGTTAGGAGAGCCTGATTGCGACCCCGAAGGGCTCAGGTTCGAACCTCGGAGAAGGCATGGATGTAAAATTGTCTGTTCCTTCATAGGAGGTAACTGTGGCCGCTTATTAGGTGCTTGCACAATAAAATAGCCACCATAGTGTGGCGAATGTGGTTATAGGCAAGTGCCCGCCATTGGAAAACGAAATGCTAACTGTAGACATAATTTGCCGCAAGAAATAAAGATGGTTCAAAATAATGTCATAATGTTTTTAAAATATCTTTTTGGAACACGGGGAGGTGGGAATCATTAATCGGATTAAAAATGTCAGATTTTCTAACATTTTATTGCGTCTGATTTACTTCTCCATTAGATCTTTCTATCAATATTATAGCCAAGGTATAAGTCTGTCGTAGTTTCTAAAGTTAATGTAAGTTGATGCTCTCTTAAAATTTAAATGGCCAAAAGGAAACAGTGGTTTGAATATTATTTTGTACATTTTAGCAAGTATTTCTACCAGGCTGAAAATATAGCATTAGAATGTCATATCGATTTGCAGACTTCTTATTTTTCTTAATGTATTCAAATTTGAAATAATATTTATAAGACATACCTGATATACAGTATTAATGGCCGGAATATGACTAAGACGAGTCGTTTATCATCTTGCAAACGCTGTTGCATTTTGTATTTTAAGAATTCACGATTATTTGTTCACGAAAGTTGAAAGCAAAACAGGTTTAGAACCTGTTTTACACCAAGAGGGCTACTTTACAAGCCTAACTTTGCTTTTAGTCTTTTTTCTCCTTGTGAACGACAAATAACAAACAAAATTATTGCTACTTTCTTGCCAAAGCGGCTGTAAGCGCTTAAAATATTATCGAGACGGAATTACTCTCGAGAGACTAGTACTAGATGGACAGGAGGTAAGAAACCCTCGATCTGTTCCACCGGACAAATCTGATGGTTGAGAAAAATATCCCACAGCATAAATGTAATTTAACTGATGTGTCGAATGTAATGATGGAATGTGTGATCTATAAAGGAATATAAAATTAAAGTAATTTACCCCCAAAGGGTGACACTTCAAATAATATGAATTAAGTAATATTTATTATATCTTGACATCATAAAATTTTGAATTAATACCAGCAAGTAAATGTCTCCAGACAGAAGATTGGTAACCGTGATCATACAACTGCAGAAAGAAACAGTCCTACCATTTTGAAACCAAACTTTTCGTACAAGATATGCGTAATATTCCAATCAAAGTAAATCTCAGTCCCTCGTCTTTAAACAAAGTTTCATGATGAAAAATATCAACTTTTATAACGGAGGAAATTGAGTTGACTGGTTATTCCAATATATTTTTGAAGAAACACAATATTCTTATCATCAGGAAAGTGGAACACATGCACATGAAGTCCTTTCGAGGGTATTTCAAGTCGTAGAACATCATTAATTTATTGGAGAAGTCAGCATCTAGATAATTTTAGTAGAATCTTCAGTACCAATTTCTGTTTCTAGGAGAAATGCATTACTCTACAAACATTATGGAAACGGCAGTCAAAACATGGACGAAAAAGAATAAAAAGGCGTACAAGCGTCTTCCGGGCTGAAGACGGCCAGAAGACCGTCCTACACCTTCGGAGCCCAGCAGCAGGAGAAGGAGAAACCGGTTGTAGCCATGAATTTCGCTCTGTCGTTGAACGGTCGCAGTGAACAGACTTGATGTTGAATAAATGTGGAGGCTTGCCTGCACATTCACTTCGTGGATATATTCTTTCAAAATATCCACAGAGTTGTGCTGTCACCTTTAAGGTGCCTAAGGTCATGACCAAAGAGAGATGCTCTCTACGTTTTGGCTATAATGATGACCCTTCCTCCGTTAGATTATGATTGCGTGTCGTTATCCTCGAGCAACACGCTTTCCCGCCACCTTGTTTGAGGCTTTGAATCACTTCAACCTACATTCTGCGCTATTAAACGAATCGAAATATGCCAAATGGAAATGAAGTGGGGAAAAATAAGGGAAAATTCTAAATTAAGAAAAAATGTTTCAGTTACATTTTTTCTTCCAATCTGGAGCAAGCGTGCCTAGATAAAATTTCTATGAACTATGTCTGAAGAAAGAAACAGTTGAAGAATTTAATATTTTTAAGAAAATAGTTTTATTTCTTATAATTCTTACACGTGGAATCTGGTTTTGAAATCTGAACTATTGTTGCGAATATTAATGACATAAAAAAAAAAACATTTCACGCTATGCGCCATCTGGTGAAAACAGAAATGTCTATTTATGTTTTCCTTTGAAGGCTATTTTCGACAGAAAGAATGATGTACTAAATCCATGTTGAATGTAAATTTAAGGCACTGATTGAAAACACATAAATTTGTTCAGACATGTATTGCTCTAAATGACATAATACGTGTAAAATGGAACAATATCTGTGGCAATAAAATCATTGCATGAAAAACTAAATAATTTTAAAGAACAAAATGAGCAAAATTAGCTTTTACGGTTTCCTTTTATAAATACACATTAATTAAATTATACTTAATTGTAATTAAATTATATGTATATATTGATATTTATATAACTGCACTACACTGTATATTTTTTTCTTTCTCCCCGCCTTCAAAACAGTGAAATTTATATGTAAAACAATTACGTAATTAATACGCAATAATTAAATTTTCCAATTTGGTTATTTGCTTTTTTACCCTAATAATAATAACTAATTATAAAAAAGTCTCTTAAAAATGCGCCGTTTCATAATTAATTCCTACCATACAATTCTTACATAACGCAAACTGGCTGGTATTTTAAGTTATAGAAGAGAAGCACCGTCAAAACTCCCATATAACTAGGCTGTTTGTCCGAATTAGAACCCTAGTCATCCTTTGTACCTTTAGGCCAATGGTGAATCTGGAATTTTTTTGATGGTATAAGGCAGTGGTTAACGAAAGTGTGAGTCAGAACACAAATTCGAATGGGTCCTCAAAACGTTTACAAATCTTTCGTTTATTTTCAGTTTTATCTTATACATTTAGTTAGAAGTATCCTAACAAATTTTTTATAAATTACAGTTATAATGTATTCATCTAAAATTATCGATTAATCTTTAACAGCTATGAGGAACAGACCAAAAGTATTAATATAAAGCGTTACTCATTGCAATTATCTTCACTATTTTCTACAGGGTGAATCTAAAAAAGTGGCCGTTTAAAAACTTTACGGGGTATAGAACGCAGCTCGTCAGAGAAAGTCTGGCCGGAGCGCAAAAGGCGAGCAGCTAGGTCGCATTATAAATGGTATAAAAAGGATCGGTGCTCACACCCAACAGCATTTGCTACCGTGAATTGCCGAGAAGATGGGCTGTTATATGAACCACGAAATTTCCAGGACTGTGGATTGCTCGAGGTGATCTCATAGTTTGTCCACCGGAATCAGCTGATCTCTCGTGTTTGGACGTTTTCCTGTGGGGCCATATGGAAAGCCTAACCCACGATTGGCCCGTTGAAACCACTATGGATCTAGTAGCCAGGATCAAATGTACGTCAGTCCCTGTCGCGCAGGTCTGAAGCCTCATAACAGCTGACAGAATGTCTTTTGAGCGTGTACATCACATACATTTCTGTTAAAAACGTTTTCTGTCGTATCTCCTCTTATTCTTGCGTTAATTATTTAAATGAGACCTTGAAAAACTACCTTTGAGCTTCTCACCGCTTCCGATCCGACCATACATTCTATGACGAATATTACTCATGCAGCTGCATTCTATCACTCCGTAAGGTTTTGCCCACTTTTTCATATTAATCCGGTATATCTCTGAGTTTGAATCTTTGTTCGTTCCTCTGCAAATACTGCTAATAAAAAATCTCTTCATATTTTCGATCCTTTTTGTGTCCCAACCTCTTAAGGACATTCTCTAGAGTATTCTCAGATATCCTAAGAACTACTTAATTTAATATCTTGAGAATATTCGTTGCGTTTATATTTCGTGTGAACGTATAGTGCCTAAAATTCGTTGTTTAATCAGACTTCGATGTTACAGTTTTTAGAATAAATAACTGTATTTGATAACATTTTCTAAATTGAGAAAATCGCATTTTATCGATAACAATTGCAATAATTCGTAATAAGATTTAGTTCGAGTTGTATTTTGCTTCTTTACTTTTTCTGAGCCAATAAAACTTCGAACAATTCACAATTTATGTTGGGAAAAATTCAAACAGCAATAAGATTTAAGGATTAAACCTGTTAAAACTACCTTCAGCGCAGTTGAACTAGAATTTATGAAAACTGAATGTGCAAATGCCTTAACGCAATTTTTCAACTTATATTTAAATTTAAACTTAAAACTTCCAAATAAGATAAAATTTCAGACATAAATTGAATAGCTTTAATTTTTTACCTTTAAAGTGATATAACTGAATGCAAAAACGTAACTGGATAAAAACCTTTTCAAAAATGGTGAAAACATTTTTAGCATCTCAAAACTGCCTTCAAAAGAGCTTAAACAAAGTAAAGAAAGGCTATAAAACAACTATTGAATGATTAAATTATTCAAGGCAATCCCAAAATCTCGCACATCAAATTTAAAAAACTGTAGAAATTCCCAAAGTGTTATTAATGGTAAATTGTTTTCAATGGATAAAATTTATGTACTATGTGTACATTATTACAAGTAACATATTACTTAAAATTTTAGTTCAATGTTAGCTTATGCTGTTAACTCTAAATGCCATAATTTGATGCAAGATGGAAGTGAGCTTTTCCCAAGGGGAATGGACCATAGGTTTGGTATCTCTCGAAATGTAATTTCATTTTACATTTCTCAAGCCACAAACCCTTTTTTAAAATTTTTGTGCATTCATATTTCTGGAATAATTACTGTTAATAAGCAGATAAGTCAAACATAATAAGAGAATGTTATGTATACATTTACAGAAAAATTATTTTCTTTTGAAATACAAGAAAGTAATTTTTTGAAGTTATTCCATATTAATACAGACTTTATAATACTGTACTAGCGGGCAAGCCCGCCAGCTGAGCGGGCTGAAGCCCGCTGTTATTGGCCTTTATTCGCAAGTTGGACAGCCCGTTCGCCGGGATCGAAAGTTGGAGCGAACTACCAGTGTTCAGCGGTTTTGCGCTTGCTGCTCCCGCTTTATTCACATATGCATCCTGAAGACACTGCATACACGATACACATGCGGAAAATCACGAAAACACTCATGCAGCCAGCCCGCTCGCGGGAATTCGAAAGTTGGACCGAACTACTAGTGTTCAGCGGTTTTTCGCGGGCTGCGCCCGCTTTGGTCACATATGCATTCAGAAGATACTGCTTACTCGATACGCATGCGGAAAATCACGAAAAAATCCATGGAGCCAGCCCATACGATTTGATCCGAAATTTGGTCCGAACTACCAGTGTTCTCCACCCACTTTATTCACGTATGCATTCCCAAGATACTTCATAAACGTTACACAGCCGGAAAATCACGAAAACATTCATACAGCAGCCCATTACCTGGTATTCGAAAGTTTGACCAAACTACCAGTGTTCAACGGTTTTGTGCGGGCTGCGTCTGCCTTATTCATAAATGAATCCATAAGGTACTGCATATACATTACACATGAGTAAAATCACGTGAACACCCATGGTGCTGGCCTGTTCGTCTGGATTCGAAAATTGGACTGAACTGCCAGCGTTCAGCGGTTTTGGGCGGGCTGCGCCCGCTTTATTCGCTTATGCATACAGGACATACCGCATACACAATACACATGACTAAAATCACGAAAAAATCTATGGAGGCATTCCGTTCAGCGGGATTCCAAAGTTGGACCGAACTACCAGTGTACATCGATTTTACCTGGGCTGCGCCCACCTTATTAACATATGCATGCATAAGATACTGCATACACGTTACACATGCAGAAAATCACGAAAATACTCATGCAGCCAGCCCGTGTTCGCCGGTATTCGAAAGTTGGACCAAACTACCAGTGTTCACATGTTTTGATCGGGCT